TGGCCATTCCCCCTGGGGGATGATTTCTCGCTTTCTGTCTCTCTGTCACTCTCTGTCTGGCGAGCTCACATACCCTATAGCAAAAACCTCTCCAAAAAAAAAAGTTATTATAGAACTATGGTTATGGTCAAAGTTTCTATTTTGCCAAAAATTTAAATACAGATAGAATGTCCTTAAGTCTGTTGCTGACAGATAAATTCAGAAAAGTGCCAAATAGAACTCAAGGTGCTCCTCAGAATTAAAACTATGCTATTGTGTGTGAACCTTCTATTAATAGATCTTAACAGGCCTTTCTTGCCTTTGAGGTGGTGGTGTAGATGATGCAATCCCCCTTCTGATTCAGCATTTTTAACAGAAATTACAGAATGTTTGAGCTAGACTCTCTTACCTACAGACAGTTTTACCTAGCAGTTTGGAGATTATCAGCTGTGGATTCCATTACATTGTGAATAATTACTTGAGCGCAATTTTGTAGCCTTTAAGCAAGACCATCTATGAACTTGCTTATTACCTGGCCCAGTTCTCATAGACTAGGTTTTTGGAGTTTGTTTCCTATGTTTATTCATATTGTAGTTCTTAAATCAGTCTTCCAAATTATGCTTGCAATTAAGCATTGATCAGGAATGGGTGACTTTTCATGGAAGATAGCATACCATAGACACTTTCTTTAGTACTGTAAACTGTCGACACAGGCTGCTGCTTTTTTTTAATTTTTTTATTTTTTGAGAGGTTTTTGCTATAGATTGTGTGCGCTCGCCAGAAAGAGAGACAGAGAGACAGAAAACAAGAAATCACTCCCCAGGGGGGATGGCCATGCCACAATCCCTCCTCCATTCTCCTCTCGGGATCTTGGGCATGTACGCACATGCACCTGGCATGATTTTAAGCCACCAGGTCCGGGACTTGAACAGTGGAAAACTGCAGAGGAGTCCAGCAACGTAGCCATTACACCATCTGCTGATCCCCAAGCTGCTTCTTGAGAAGTAGCAATTGTTATCTGAGAGAATTTTGTTGTGTACATGAGACTTTCAATGTGCGGGTATATGGCTTAGAGATGGGAGCTAGTTATGAGTGAAAACAGGCAAGGAGGCACTGAGGGGAAAATACACAGTCTTTTTTTGCTCTGTTCCTTGTCATTACCGGAGTGTTCTGAAATTCTGATTCACGTGCTCCTATGGATTACAAAGCAACAACAGCTGAGGTGCACCAGCACATGGGTTCCATTTCTTTCATGTCTGTTCCCCTAGCATCACTGAAGTGAGTTAGTGTTCAAGACAATGCCATTCATTATGCTCAGCTCTGAGATGGAAACAGCTCGTTGTCAGTGTCCAGACATTAAATTGCTTTCAGCACAGTCTCTGACCAAGTTGGAATTTGAAACCTTGGTGTTCTCTCCCTGGCTTTGATGCTCAGTGCCATGTAACCCAGTGGTTCCTGCATTAATCCAGGAATATCTCACTTATCTGTGCATTTAGCTGGGCACTTGCCAGCTATAAACACTTAAATAAAGTGTTTATAAACAGAAAAAAAAAGAATGGTCACCAGAGCCTGAAATGGACATTTTTATGTGTTTTAACTAAATTCTCATAATCATCATAAGAAGTAGGAATTATTATTATTACCTACAGAATGTAGATAGGGAAACAGATTCAAACATATTCAGTAAATTTGTCTGAAATAACAAAGCTAGAGCCTATATTATTTCTACTACATCACTTGTCTCTTCCTGACTAGAAGGTACTACTTGGTAGAATGTGATTAGCTTAGTTACCACAGTGAAAATTAAATGTGAAATATCCATGGTGGGAAGACTCAGTCAGAAAGACACTTGAAAAATCCATGTTTATTGCAGCATTATTCACAATTGCTAAGACATGGAATCAACCTAAATGCCAATTGTGCATGATTGGATTGGAAAAATGTGATATCTATACACTATGGAATTAATATTACTCAGCCATGAGAAATAGAAACCTTGTGATTTAATACAAAGTGGAGTGGACGAATATTGAAGATTTAATGCTAAGTGAAGCAAGCCAGACTACAAAAGGCAGACATTGAATGTCCCCACTCAATATATACCAAATGTGGGAGAAGGGTGGACAATGGAGGCTGGGAGGGAGGGAATGAAGTGACAAAAATCAAAACATTTAAAATGAAAGATTATCCGTTGATGATAATGTGTATGGTAATATCTTTGACTAGACTAATATGTAGTATATTCATGCCTGGAAAGTCCATTTTGCAGGATGTCTCCGCTTAATATATACCGACTGTCTACACTCTATAGTGGAAACTGAAATATTTGAGAATATAGAAGTATAGAAAATGGTTATGGACACTAGAGACAACTGGGAAGAGGATGGGAGATGGTGGAGAGAGAGAGGGAAAAATATCAAGGAGAAAAATAGAGAGGCAAGAAGTTTAGGGGACACAGAAATAAAGGATTGTCTGTTCATGATAATGTGTATGATATCTTCAACTAGACTGGTGCTAAGTGTGTTCATGTTGGGTAAATTCATTTTATAAGCTATAGTGATGTACAGTCAGTAATTGCATGTATAAAATAAACTTAAATTAAATTTAGAAAAGATATATAGCAATTGAATGTAAAAAAAGAAAGAAATAATTCTATCTAAATAAAATAATAAAAACAATATAATCAAATATTATATATACATATATATGTATATATATGTGTGTATAACACAAGAATAGAAATTTAGCTGCTGAGGATGATGTATATGTAATATCTTTGACTTTATTGACATGCAATGCATGTATGCTTTGAAAACCATGTTGTATGTGGTAAAAATGTATAACGATTAAATGTAAAATTTTTTTTAAAAAGCCAAGGAAAAATCCCAATGGTAGAAAAATGTAGAGGGAATATATTTTGAATTTTGTAGAAATATAAACTTTCTTGTAGAGGGAACTGATAGCTTGCTGTGGGCAACTTTTGTTATTTCTGAAACTTACAAAAGGAAAACAACCTAAGAAACCACTAACAAGAAAATGCAAGGTGAAAGAGCTAAATTCAGAGTATGTTTCTTTTCTCTCTGTCTTTCTCTATTTTCCTCTCTCATTCTCTCTGTCTTTCTGACTCTCTATTAATGACTATTCCTGGATGATTTGTCCTCACTTTTGTTATTTCTGAAACTTACAAAAGGAAAACAACCTAAGAAACCACTAACAAGAAAATGCAAGGTGAAAGAGCTAAATTCAGAGTATGTTTCTTTTCTCTCTGTCTTTCTCTATTTTCCTCTCTCATTCTCTCTGTCTTTCTGACTCTCTATTAATGACTATTCCTGGATGATTTGTCCTCTTGTGTTGTCAATCTCTCTGCCATTCAATCTAGTCGTATTTTTGGTTCTTGTCTCATAGATATATGTGATATTGATAATATCTCATTTTTTTTTCATTTTTATTTTATTTCAAGTTATTTTATACATTCAATCATGATATTTAGCTTGCAAAGTGAATATTCCAACATGTGTACATTTCTCCCCAGTCCAGTTGATAATACTATAAAGTTATTTTCAACAGATAATACTCCATTTCTTTGTCCCATTAATGCTTTGCCTCTCTATTTTTCTCCTTAATGTCCTTCCTCAGTATATCACTTTCTTTTTCTCTTCTTTTCTTTTTTTTTTCATTTCATTTTCTTCCATACACTCAATCACATTATTATTTGTCTTACAAAATGGGTATTTCAATAGGTGAACATTTCTCCCTAGTACTGTTGATAAAACTATGAAATATCGTCAACAGATAATACCGCCGGTATATCACTCTTAAAGCTGTGCTTCCCTTCTTTATCAGTGCCATGACTCTCCTCCCAGACACTGTATCTGAAAGTTAGGGAGTCACTCTGACCCTGTCACTATGTTTCTCCTCACCACATCCGTCCAGAGATCAATCAATTCTCCCTCAAAAAATTTTCCAATCTGGGACCAGCAGGTGGCATAATGGTTACATCACTGGATTCCTATGTAGTTGATCACAAGTTCAAGCCCCAAATCTGGCAACTTAACTCACACTGGGTGCATGTGCATGCATACCCAAAATCCAGAGAAAAGAATGGAAGAGAAGGGATTTTGGCATGCCCATGCCCCATGGGGAGTGATTTTTTGCTTTCAGTCTCTCTGTCTCTCTGGAGAGTGCACATGTCCAAAGGCAAAAATCTCTCTAAAAACAAAAATTCCAATCTATCTCCAATTCTACTGTCACTAACGTAATCCAGGCCACTCTCATCACTGCAACAGCTGTCTTACTGAACTTCTTGCATTCCGATCTTGCCCCTCTTAATCCATTGCCCATACAATGTCTAACACTATCATTAAATATGGGTACCATTTATTTGCAGGTTAAATACTCAATGCGCTGTCTCATTCATCCTTGTGGCAGCCATGTGATTATTTCCATATTGAAATGAGAAAACTGAAGCCAAGAGAAGTTAAAGAAGTTAATTCTGAAGTCACAAAATTTTATTTATTATTATTATTTTCTTTTAGTATTTGTTTTTTCTTTTGTGGAGAGGTTTTTGCTATAGGGCGTGTGCGCTCGCCAGACAGACAGAGAGAGACAGAGAGACAGAAAGTGAGAAATCACCCCCTAGTGGGGATGGCCACACCGCAATCCCTTCTCCTCTATTCTCTCAGGATCTTGGGCATGCACGCACACGCGCTTGGTGTGAGTTTAAGCCACCGGGTCCGGGACTCGAACCACAGTCGACTATGTGGGAGTCCAGTGACATAGTCATTATGCTAACTGCTGACCCCAAGTCACAAAATTTTCATGGGGCAGACAGAGTTGGCATATCGGAATAGGATCGATGTTTGTTCCCATACTACTCCCTTACCTTTGTCATGGTACTTACCATGCTAACTGGTATTCTGTTGATATGTCTTTCTCTTTAGATTTTGTTCTCTTTGATTAAAAGAACTACATCATCTCTTGACTTCATTTTAAAATTACTAGAGGGTGTATGTTCCCATCAAAGAGAGAGAAAGAGAGTGAGAAAGAGAGAGAGAGCACCCCAAATGGGGTGTGGTCACATTGCAATCCCTTTTACTCTACTTACTTCTTCATTCTATCAGGATTATGGGCATGCATACATACCTGAAATGTTTTTCAAGATGCTGGGGCTGGGACTTAAGCCACGTGGGATCATGTGGGATCTGGCTCCCTATGCACAGTGCTTAATTGCTGCATTATGGGTCAACACTCTTTACTTCTTCTAACCCTTCCTACACTGTGACTCAGGGGATCCTTCTTTGAAATATCATGTCATTCTTCTGCTTAAAATCCTCTGTTGGCTCTCTATTGTTTTTCTCTTCATGGCATTCTCTTTCTCATTCTGTATATTTCAGTCACACTGAGATGCTTTCAGTTCTGAGATCATGCCAAGTTTTTTTTTTTTTTTTTTTTTTTTTTTTTTTTTTTCCTGGCAAAGGCTTATGTGTGTGTTATTCCCTTTGTCTGAAATTCTCTTCCACAGATCTTCATATATCTGGCCTCTTAATCTCAGTTTGCAGGTCTGAGAGACCTTCACCACCAACCCTGTCTATGTAAATCTGCACATTACTATATATTCTCTAATCTTTCTCTTTGTAACATTAATATTTATAATTTAGACATTTACTTGTGTATCAATAAAACCGCTATATATTTCCATGATTGCTATAGGATGATCTTTATTTTGTTCACCACCATGTAGCCAAGACCTCACCTGATACTTAGTAATAGCTTAAAAATATTTGCATAATTATATTTTATTGCATACACAGTAGTTCATAAGTTTATAAACTTTAAGCAAAAACAAAAACCTGGGTACATCAACTGATAAATTTATGCTTCCTGCCATTTCCTTAAAATGCTATATTCTGATTTAGGCTGGTAGCATCAATACTTCTTGCACTTTTATTTTTGAATCATAGTTACACTTAGAGAATGGCCTGAGAAAAGAGCAAAGGAATCAATTTAGAAATCGCATATGATCATACTTATCTTATAAATAGAAACCAGAACTTCTCAAAATCTCAGAGTATAAGCAGTACAATTATCTGTACCTCATGAATATTGTAGTCTTTGTTACTTGCTTCTAGAGGTATCTTAGACTTTTACTTTTGTTTACTGTCATTCTGTGAAGGCCACACTTGGTTCATCTCATCAACAAATGACTTCCTATCCACCTACCCATAGAATCTAGAGTAAGGGTGAGGAGGCTGTGTTTATAGTCCCCAAAGCTCTCCACATTTTAAAAGTAAAATAAAGGGAAAATAACTCTATTTACTTTTTTACATGACTTTTGAGGACTCTGGGTTCCTTGGAGACAATCACTCAACTAGCATATGCAGGTACTTAGTGAGCCCCTTCCTATAATTCCTGGGCTAGGTTCAGTGGAGAATAAAGAATTATCTACCACAATCTCTATTTCTAGAAAGCTTCTTGTCTTTTCAGGAAAATATTTGAAAATCTCCAATAACACAATTAGTGCATGGGGGGAATTGAGATACGTGACAAAGGTGATAAGAAATCTTCATGTTAGCACAACATCATCACTGTGAGGTGCACCTTACCATTGGTGCACCTTCCATAGTTTTAGCTAGTAAAAGATGTATTAAGGAGCCTAAGTACCTTGTTCAAGATCACAGGATTATATTATGGTGAAACCATCTTCCCTTCTCTTCCATTCTCCTCCTAGGATCTTGGACACACATGCACAGCATAAATTTTAAGCCACCAGGTCTGAGATTCATAACATAGTTGACCATGTGGGAGTACAGAAATATAATCACTGCACCATCTGATGGCTCTTCACTGATTATTATTTACATAACTCATCCGGGATTTAACAATTCATTATTTTATCCAGGAAACAGTCTGCTATGTATGTGTACTACATGCTAATTGTTGAAGATGGTGAGTGAAAAGTTACAGAGAAGAATCATACATGATTGTCCTTACTGTCACTTGGGAGAAATAAGCACAAGAGTAACTTGTCTAATAGGTTTTAAAAATATGCCATAAAAGAGGTAATAAGTACACTTCTGTGAAAGAAGAAATGAAACCCCACAAAAAAGGACACTTGCCAAGATATAAGAACAATAAATGTTCTATCACAACTGAAGAATAAGCAAGATGGTAGGGAGGATAGAACGGGAAATCAGAGTCAGGATGGCTGTGAAAAGGAAAAGAGGCTATAAAGGTACTTAGGACCAGATCATGGAAGTTTGAATTTATGAATTTTATATATTTTATAGGTAATCATTGAAGAAGTCCGAGAAGAGATGTGATATCATCATATTTGTGTTTTAGAAAAATCACTTTGACAATAATGTGGAAGATTAACTGGAAAGATAGGACACAGGAAATTCAAATGAGTTGGGACTAAGTAGAGTGACTACTAGTTCAGGTTTGCTTAGGTCTGAGGGTTTCCTGGAACCCTAAGTGCTATCATCATGGCAGTCCAAGGCAAACAGGATAGTCACCCTGCTTCTTCAACAGTAAAGGTGATAGTGAATTAGCTCTAAACT